CCCTTCCTTCCTCCATTTGGGATCCCTGTTAAAGAGTGAGTGTCTTTCTCTCTCTCTCCCTCCCTCCATTTGGGACCCCGTGAATGCGCGAGTGTCTCTCTCTCCCCCCAACTCCCTCCATTGGGGACCCCCCCTGTTAAAGAGGAAGTTTCTATCTCTCCTCTGCCTATGGAAGTTGGGGTTCCCAGCTCTAATACGAACTCACTGTGTCTCAATCCCTCCTGGATCTGCTCCATCCCCCTATTAATAGGAGCCTACATTTCCCATCCTGGCAAGTTCTGCCCTTCGAGGAGAGGCCAGGCCCGTGGTCGCTGGGAGTCAGGGGATCTCATAGAAACCGATAAAACTCTTAACGGGCCTAGATAGGATAAACACAGAAAGGATGTTCCCGATGACCCGGGAGGGAGGCCCAGAACCGAGTGGGGGACGTGGGGGTCACAGTCTAAAGGAGACGGGGTGGTCTGAGACTTCACCCAGAGAGTGGGGTTCCTGTACCACTGGGAACAATCAGGGCCAGAACACGGAATGTTTTCCAGAGGGAGTCGGATGATCAGCGACTGGATGGGGTAGCAGACTGGAAGGGCCGAATAGCCTGCTCCTGCTCGTACGTTTTAGGCAGCGATGCCGAGGGAGCATGGTTCATCCTGGGCACTGCCCGCCTGTACGACACCTCCCTCTCTCTCTCTCTCTCTCTCTCTCTCGCTCCTTCCCGGGCCCGTGAGAGCAACGCCGTGAGGCCACTCGGCCCCGATTTCGCGTACTGCCACTCAGCCAGAGATCAACGGCCTCGGCTCAGGCCCTCTCTCAGGGCGAGACGCCACCGTCTGGGCCTCCCACGCGACTGCAAAAGATCTGGATACTCACGCACGCAGACGCCCCGACTCTCATAATACCCGGGGCAACAGTGTGCCCGCTTGCGATACTCGGTCTGTACCCCTACGTGGTAGGTCACTCGGTAGGCGCTCCTGGAATGGACGGGGGGAAAGTGGGAAATGGCCGAATCCAGAGACCGCGCCTCGCTATTTTTAGACCACGGGCCGAAAAGGACGGACACCGCTTTCGAAAAGAAAACGAGAGGGTGGGTCTCTGGGACACAACTGAGGCCCGAAGGCCGCACGTGTCTCCGTCTGGGGCCAGACAAAGTGGGTCCATTTAATGTGGGTCCAGGAGAGCTCAGCCTAGCAACAGCCCTCTGATTGGTCAGCTCGCGGTTTTTCTTCAATTGGCGTTGTTGGCGGGCCACCGTGCGTTCGTTTTTGTCCAGATGGCGCTTAAGAGTCAACCACCGCATCGCTGTTGGGGTCTGGAATCACGTGTAGCCCCCGAAGGACACCAGGTTTCCTTCCCAGTGACCGCGGTAGGGATTTTACTGAAAATTGATGGCGTTGCCATTGTCCCACGGCGCCAGAACATTAACCGCTCCCACGGCGCCCCACCCCCACCGGATTACTAGCAAAGGCAGCAAGAAAGATCCCATGCCCAATCGGGTAACCTGTGAACTAAAGACCGATCATTGCTGGGTGGGGAGGGCACAGGTGGCACCCAACCCCCACCCCCCACCTTGTGTCCTGGGTCAGGACATATTTGCCCCTCGACTGAGCACGGCCAAAACCTTTCGTGGGATTCTTCTGTACGCAAGATGGGGGCTGCCGCGTTCCCGGACTCGCAGGCAGCAACGAGGTAGAAAGCAGCCCCCCCGGGGATGCTCCGAGAGTGACTGCACTTCGTTTCTGTCCCCGTTGGGGGCTGGCGGGGGGGG